TGTTTTGAGAAACGCTGTACAAATGCGCTTTACACAATTGATGTGTGTATGGATTGGGATAACAGTTGTATGAGCCCCTAATAAAATGTTAAAAAAAAGAACTTCCTATACAAAAGAGACAGACATTAGATATGATACATTTTTAACAGTTTTCCAATTTAAAAAGAGGGGAGAAATTATCTATCAGTAATCCTAAATCTATATGGAAATTTGAACAAGAAGCCAGAAAAAGGATAGAGATTGCCTCCTTACTCCGAGGCTTACGATTCAAGGTCTTCATGAAAGTTGAACAAATAAGAAAACTACTTCCAAGGTTGTCATGGATGATGTACGAGTTTTGGAAATAAGTCCTTGAATCTATCCAAAGAATATGGATATGCACATATATGTACACACGTGTGTATGTGTGTGTGTGTATGTGTGTGTGTCTGCATATCAAAAAGTTCGTGGAAAAGTTCCATTTTCTTGGAATTCCATTTTCCTCATGTAAGAGCATGTCTAAAACATTACTCTGCATTTAAAAATGTTTTTATATATTTATTTTAAACCCTTAAAAGGGAAAATAGGTAAGGGGGCACGTGTGGAGGCATGGATCAAGCTCTAAATCAGACTGGAACTTCACCAAATAATCACCGAAAGCACCTTGGTTTTGAAAGTGTCCTAGTACCATATATACTCGAGTATAAGCCGACCCAATAATCTGCCGAGGCACCTAATTTTACCACAAAAACTGCATTTAAAATGTGCTGGAAAACTCGGTTTATACATGAGTATATATGGTATGTTCAAATATACACCTATTACAAAATATAATTTCTTGATAGCAACTTACCATTTTATGATATTTCATATATAATGCTACCAAATCTTCAATAATGAAATTGGGTGGGGCTGAGTCTTGAAAATGCTGAACTTTTAAACTGGTATATATCTATATTTCTGCTATGCTACTTCAAGAACATGATTTATTGCATTTCAAACTGTTTCTTAAATAATTTTTTTCTTAAAGTGCCAAACTCATGATCATTAATTCATTACAGAGTGAAAGAGAAGAAGCGGGACTCACACGCTATTCTAAACAATTCTTAAACTTTCTTCCCTGGGGTCCCCTCTTTAGCCATTGCTGCCAGTGAGTCACTTCCGGCCAGAGCGACCCTGCGGAGCGGAGCAGAGCAGGGCAGAACTTCCTCTCGGGTGTTCTAAGCTGCCAGTCTTTATGGACGCAGACTGGCACGTGCTTCCCCATGTGCAGGGCGGGTGAGTGCTTGACCACTACACCACCAGGGCACCTCCTACAGGAGTGCCTTTTACAAAGGAAGCTACACTGAGATTCCAGGGGAACAGTTAGGGAGGCAGTACTTGCAGTCCCCAGTCATCCACACCTGTGCTGCCATTCACTTATACGCATGTTTGTTTGTCATCAAATCACTTTAAGAATGTGTATACCTTGTAATCGGTTCCCTCTTTCCAACCCACTCTCCCTCTATCTCCCTGGGGGACGGACAACAGAAAAGTGGGTGAAGGGAGACGTCGGACAGGGCAAGATATGACAAAATAACAAGTTATAAATTATCAAGGGCTCACGAGGGAGGGGGAGTGGGGAGGGAGGGGAGATGTTTTGAGAATGATGAGGGCAATGAATGTACCAATGTGCTTTACACAATTGATGTATGTATGGATTGTGATGAGTTGTATGAGCCCCTAATAAAACGAGTAAAACAAAAAAAAAGAATGTGTATACCACTTACCGATTTATAAGCCACGATCCTTATGGATAAATTAGAACCAATAGTCAGCTGGCAAGGCCAGGGCATGGAATGTCGCTCAGTTTTCTTAAAGACACATAGTTGTTTCAGGCTCTCACTTTAATAAAAACAAACAAACAGGAAGAGCAACAGTTTTAAAATGCGAACTGCGCCGGACGATGCAGGTATGTTCTAGAACTACTGAGCTGCTGCTGATCACAGGGGAACATGGGGACAGCAGGCAAATGACAACCACAAGTTGAGAGAGAACCAGACTACAGGAGCCGGCAGAGGGGGAGAAGGGGTTGGATAACTTTACTGTCAGGTGCAAACAAACATCTCTATCTTCCCCTACTCAAGCTTTACTTTCTACTCAGCTGGTGGCTTTTCACACTTCTGTCAGCCCAAAAGACACTCTTGGCCCAAGTACATTTATTTACATGGCACTACACTGAGTTAGGGGATGGACTTTGGGCCTCTGCTCACACCCTCCCTCAATACAAAAACACTATGTTCAATCCGCAGTCTGAGATGTTCAACACACCCACCCCACCCCACCACAATCGCTGAAGACAAAACGGGTGCATAAGCAAATGTGGTGAAGAGGGTGGGTGGTGACTGGCTATGAAGAAATATAGCATCTGGGATCTTAAAGGCTTGAAGTTACACAAGCCACCATTCAGCAGTGAAGCAACAAGTCCACATGAAAGAAGGACACCGCAGGTGCGATCATGAGGAGTTATAGGACTGGGTAATAGGCATCAGCAGACACATAACAAACAAAAACGTATTGTTGAGAACGAGGGGGGCTGGAGCAGAGATCCAAAACCCACCTGTAGATAGTGGAACAAGCTCCCACAGATAGGGGATGAGTCACCACAGTGCAGTAAAGCACTGATGAAACACATTATGTTCCTCTGGTTCCTTAAAGCTTCCTCACCCCCCACTACCAGGACCCCAGTGCTGCTTCCCAATTCAAACTAGAACAGAACATGTACACAGGTATAGAAAGGGATGGGAGCTCACGACACACAGAATCCAGGAACAGGAGTGGGAATAGTGATACCAGAAGGGTAGGGGGAAGAGGAGGAGAGGAAGGGAGAAAGGGGGAACCGATCGCAATGATTGACACATTAACCATACACCCCTCTACAGGGGGAAGAACAACAGAAAACATGGGGGAAGGGAGACAGAGGTGGGTGTGAGAGATGAAAATAATACCAATGTATTATCTATCAGGGGGTTATGAGGGTGGGGGAGGAGGAGAAAGCTGACACCAAGGGCTCAATAGAAAGTAAATGTCTAGAAAAGAATAAGGGCAATGTGGAATATAAAAAGACTTTTCCCCAGCTTTGTCTCCCCCAAAGATATGCCAAACATTAGAGGCTATTTGCCATCACATGGTGGGAGGTCAGATGCATTCAGCCTTCAGACTACTGTCTGGTCCCACCACAGGTGGAGCCCACTCCCTGCTGTTAAGGACAATAGATTACTTCTCCCTGAAGGCTTTCAGCATCAGTCTGGTCCATGGTAGGTGGGGTTCACACCCTACTGATGTTTCCATGGAGAGCCAGAGAACAGGTCAAACCTGCTCAGTGACATCCAAACTTAGGCTGCCATCCTGAATCTAGAATCCGCCCACCTTGTCACATGTGTGCCCCCAACACCTCTCCTTCCTATTACATGTATACCCCTAGATGGTCTCTTTCTCATTAGTGTATTACCTATAGTACAATCCTTTCCTGTGATGTATGTCTTTACCTGTAATTAGGGGGCTTGCACGTCCCCAAAAGATAGATAAGCCTTAGTTAGCAATAAATCTCCCTCCTGCTCTCTCTCTCCTGCCCTGTACCACCAAGAGGAGCTGAGGTGCGCATGCTACCATTAAATGTGTCTGACTCCATTATTTCAATCTCTCATTTATCTTTCATATTCTCTGTCTTTACTATAATCTTTACTTATTATTGCTGTACAATTGCGCCTACCAGTCCTGTAATGACTCGTTAGGGGCTGGCTACCCTGACAGGGCAACATATGTACAAACATGCCTGAATCAAATGATAATGGATTGTGATAAGAGGTGCACGAGCCCCCAATAAAATGATTTTTTTAAAAAGAATACAATGAAAGCACATTCATAAATGAGTTTACTCTTAACACAAAAGGTTCACCAACTCCCTGACAAACAGACCTGAGGATATGAACTCCTGCTGCGGGACATCCAAGGATAGGTACCAACCTATGACATCGCTGCTCAAAACTCTACAATTCACTAGTTCACACCAACTCTCTTAGGTAAAAGGTCTAATATATTTGTGAGGACAAAGGGGTTCTTGGCCTGAGCCACGCTATCTTCAATGGTCTCATATGCATGTGAAAGCTGGACAGTGAATTAAAAAGACCAAGAAATTGATGTTTTTGAATTATAGTGTTGGCAAAGAGTATTAAATACACCACAAAGTGCCAGAAGAATGAACAAATTTGTCTTGGAACAAGTAGACCCAGAATGCTCCTTAGAAGCAAAACTGTTTTATACGCATGCGGTGTTCTATACCAGCTGCCACTGAGTCAATAATGGCTCGGTGACCCTATAGGACAGGGCAGAATTGCCCTTTTGGGTTTCTGACACAAACATTTTAGGAGCAGAAAGCCTCATTGTTCTCCTGCAAAAGAGCTGTTGCTTTTGAACTAACAACTAAGCCACCAGGGCACCTCCACTATACCACTGCTTTCACAAGAACTTGAAGCAGTCAGAGGTAGAGCAGTGGCTGGGATACGGGGACTTCTGGGACAAACACAGGGCAGGGGAGTGAAGATGACCATGGAGGACTCAAGTTCCACAGGCCCCATCCAGACTCTTGAGGATCCTGAACAGGGCACGGTACGGCCTGCAGCATCCACAGCACGTGAGATGTTGGTCCAGTCTGTGCAAGGAAGACCCCCCATGGACCCCTCCCGTTTGGGTGCTGCGGAGGGCACCTCCATGAGGAGACCACAGAGGGTGTACCGGGTTGGCCTCTGAAGAGTTCGGTACAATCCTGCTGACCTGTCCACGTGTCTTGACATTGTCACCACTGCTTCTTTATGCCCATGAGCCTGAGTTTCTTGAAAATTGCTTTTGAAAGCACTTGGAATCTATTGCGCACATCCAGGTAGGCCTCAGGTCGCAGGCATTTCCATTCTTGCAGGAAATTCCAGATTTCGCGGTGGTTGCAAGGTCCAATTAACCAGTCTGAGGGCTCTCTGGCTCTGGCGGCACGTTCTGCTTATTTCAGGGGACTTCTGATCATTGTGCTCTAAGGTATCACGTTCCCCTATCTATTCCTGAGTTGTATCGCTTCTCCGCCTTTTGGCTAAGATCAAGTGTATTCCTGAGTTTTTTCTCCTCTGATTTCTCTCTCGGCAGCCACAGTGCTGTCTTCAGGGCGGGCAGAGAGCGGCACGTAGTCTGAGCTGCTGGACCTGTAAGTTTAGAAGACTTCATACTGGGGGGAAAACAAAGTAAACACCATGTAGAGAGTGCTACTTCATTTGATCAACTGAAGATGATCAAATCTTTTTCTTTTTCTTTTTTTAACTTGAGCTCCACCCAAGGAACTAATAGTCTAGCTAGAACGAAACATGTTAACCAAGCCCAATTTCCATTCTGCTCAAGTGGCGTGACTGTTCCTGATTTCTCTCACATGGTAACTGCTTGTGACTGGTTAAGAAACTGGCTCAAGGTGCTTCAGCCACAGGTGCCACAAACGCAAACCTGCCATCATCTAGCTGTTTCTGACGCAGAGAGAGAGACAACCAGCTGCCTAGGGTCTGCAAGGCTAGTACATATGCACAGGAGTCGAAAGCCTCCTCTTTCTCCTTGGAATGGCTGGTGGGTTTGAACAGTGAGCAACCGCCTTGCCGGGGTCCCTTTACTGAGAGACACAAGGGCAATACTACTCCTAACTTTGTATTTTCTGGTCAGTTTGAGATGAATGACTTTGACTGAACTTGGTTTGGCTTATTAGATGAAAGGGAAACTACTTGGTTATTAGCTCTTGCTCCTGATAAGGGGAAAGGCTCTAATTGGAAGAAGGATTTCAAGACAGAAGTAGACATTTATTTGAATCAGCATCCAGCATCTTTAGGTCTTATCTATGTTGAAATTTAATCAACTCCAAGTCTTTTAAGGTAAGAAAAAAAAAAAACCTGGGCTCTAATCAAGCACAATCCAGACTAGCGTAGATAAGATAGAATTTGTGATGTTCACTGAAATAAGGAGCGCAACTGTTAATGACAACACACACTCACAGCATGCCAGCTAGACTCTGTGGTTTATCTCCTTGGTACAAAGCGAGAGGGGTTCAACAGTGAGGACAAGAGAATGGCCTGATGTTATCCACAGAGGCCTCAAGAGCTCTCCGTTTCCAGAAATAATTTGAGCAAATAGCAGATATTCTCCCGAAGTTCATAGTGTATATTGGTTTTGATTTTCTGGAGACAGGCTGGCCCTGAACCAGGTCTGCAATTTCATACATGACCAGCCCAAGTACCCGTCAGGTCTAAAGCCACCAGGAGGTCTGCGCTGTTTCTGGGGGAGTTCATCATGTCACGTCCAAGAACAGCTGGGTCAGTTCTACAGTGCATTTGAGTTTCCCAAGCACAAGTCAGTTACCCTAATTTTCTGCAATAATAAAAGTGTTCTGTTTCTAACCATGCTGTTCAATATGGTACGCTCTAAGCCACCTGTGGCCATGGGCCCTTGAAATGTAGCTAATATAACTAAGGGACTAAACTGTTCATCTATTCCATTTTAATTAGATTTAATCTAAATAGTGACTTGTAGCTAATGGCTAATATACTGAGCAGGATAGTTCTTGTCCATCGTCAGAGCTATAATTGCTAGGACAATACTTATTGATTTAGCTATTTTGATGGAATACCATAGGAGCCCCAGTGGCATAGAGGTTACATGGTGGGTTGTGATCTGCTAGGTCTACAGTTCGAAACCACCAGTCACTCCTCAGGAGAAAGCTGGGGCCTTCCTACTTCTGTAACAATTGCAGTCTCGGAACCTCACAGGGCAATTCCACCCTGTCCTACAGGGTCTCTCTAATCCAGCAACAACTCAATGGTGGTGTGTTGGGTTTGGGGTATGATATACTATAGAAAGAAACAAGCTTCTAATAGTAATTTGTATTGGCCTATAATTTTTCCTATCAGTCAATACATGGTTATATCACAGTTAATAAGTTTTTTAAGGTATATAACCTCACATTAGCTTAAGTCATATACAAATTTGAAAGAGAAATAACTTCGAGACACATTGTTGCAGTATTGAAAAGCAACATTTTATAGTATTTTTCATTCAGTCCTTGCTTTGGTAGCTCCTTATAAAATTAAAATGCCATTTCCAAAATACAAACTAGAGCAGATATATACTCAAACCAAAAAGCAAACACTCACTCACTGCCATCGAACCAATTCTGACTCCTAGTGACCCTATGGGAGTAGAATGCCTCTCTTCTCCCACAGAGCCGCTGGTGGTTTAGAACTGCTAACCTTGTAGTTAGCAGTTCAACGAAGAACCCCCTATGCCACGATAGCTCCTCAAAAAGGTTCCAATCATTGAAATCTTACTTCAAAACCTGCACTGTGTGTATTTATTGGTGAGTTGGACTGACTCACGAGCATCAAAGGACAACACCCTCCAGATGTGAAGCCACACCAGTCACTGCCTGCTCCGTGCTGCAGCTTTCATCAAAGCAGGTCCCCAGCACACGCTCTCCAGCAAGCTCAAAACGAACGCATGCGCCGTCCTCGCCAGGGATAACCTGGAAAGGGGATGGTCTCTAACTGGGAGACTTAATAAAACTCATTGTAGATTTACGTGGTACTTCAAGGCTGACATTTCCTACCCAATTCTGCCTTTACAACGCCCACCTGAAATAAGCAGGCTAGGAATTCTTTGCATTCCGGGGGTGGGGGGGTGGGTTTTGCTTGCTTTACTTGACCAAGACGGGCTATGACCAAAAGGCTTTTTTCAAGCTACTTTTTTATTATTTGTGATCTCTAAAACCTAAGCCAGAGGATAAGAGGATATTAGATCCCCAGAATATGATTATCACTTTTAAAAATCAAGCATGTTTTCTTATAGGTATTTGAGAAGGAAGGGCGCAAGAAATGTGTCCCAAGTTCGTCATAAGCGAGGAAATCTCCCACAGGCAGACCTAGGGGACATTGTGGGTTTGCTTTCAGGCCAGATAATAAAGTGACTATTGCAATGAACTGGGTCGCGAGCATTTTCTGGTTTCCAGTGCATAAAAAGTTATGTTTATATGACTCTGCAGTCTACGAAGTATACAACAGCAATAGGAGAGCACGCGGAATCGTGTGAGAACTACCAAAACGTGGCACCGAGACACAAAGGGAGCACAGCTGTTGAAAGTGGAGTGGACAGACTTACCACAGACCTCAACTGGTAAAAATAAAAAGCCAACATCGGCGAAGTGCTGCAAAAGGAGGCATGCCTAGACTGCAACTTTTAAATTGGCTTTGTGAAATGACCTTGAGTACCTGTAGATTCCCAAGCTTCACTGACAGAAGTCCTGGGAAAAAAATCAGACATGTTCCTCCAAGCCCACCAATGTCTCGAAGACAGGAGAGAAGGGCTGACACAGCATTTCTTTAACAGTCGTCAAAGTATTGACTGCTCAATCAAAGGAGTGGCCAGAGAACATTAGTGAGAGTCTGGATCTAGAGAGAAATGGACGCGAAAGCGACTGAGAAGTGCTGAACCACGTTTTCGCCTCTTACCTGAAGGAATAGATTTCATCCAGTCCATCTTCACCTTCTAAAGCCAGCATCACCCTTTTCACCACCTTAATGCCTTCCTTTTGCTGCTCGGTCACGCCTTTTGGAGGAAAAGCGGGTCTGTTGTGCTCCGAGTTCAAGCTGCTGTCTCCTCTGTCCCCAGTTCCAGCTTCCTTCTCCACCACGAAGGGCAAACTATTAGTAAAGGATTAGCAGTAGTTAGAGCAGTGGTTCTCCACTTTGTTTTCGTTGCTACTTCATAGCTGTGATTTTGCTACCGTTATGAATCGGGCGACCTCTGTGAAAGAGTCGTTCAACCCCCAAAGGGGTCGTGACCCACAGGTTGAGAACTGCTGAGTTTCAGGGACACATTCTCACGTCAAAGCAGCAGCAGTCACTATGTGAAAAGAGGCCTGCCAGTCAACCTCAATGAGCTTCAGCTTTCTTAGCGGGCAAATGGCACTGGACTACCCTAGCCAATACTTATGGTGGTACCTGTCTGTCTCATCTCATCTTAACTAGTCGTTAGGCTGCTTCATTCTCTCAGGCCAGCTTCCTCCACATGGCCCCCGAGCACTCAAGCTCGATCCTGTCCAATTCCACTGCGGCAGCACCCTTAACCTTCAAATTGCCACACACCACACCCTTAACTCTCAAATCGCTACACACACGAACAGGTCCTAACTAGCCTAATTTAGGACGGATGTCCTACCACTGTTTAACCTGGCTTTGGGCGAGCTCTACAAGATGACCATCCTCACGTAAGCTGCACGTTTAGATTTCAGGAAAGAATGCCTCTAAGAAGACAGTGTTGTCTAAGCAGACAAGGAAATAAACACCCATCTGAGATCCTTGAAGGTCATCGTAACGATTCAGTAACTCAGCATGTGCAAAATGCTTAAACCCAAATGATTCTTATTGCTGTGGATACAGACTGCCTATTCAGGTATCAATTCATTGCTAGAAAGGGGTAAAACCTAGTTTCCCTTTTGTGTCTCGTTCCAGTGTGTGGCTGAAATGAGACTAGAACTAAATTGAGATTACCAGTCATGGGAATAGTCCATAATTAATACTACAATTTTTTTAAAAACCAACTATGTATTATGGTAACATTCTATATGACACTTTAGAAATGTGTTCAGGTAGACCAGCTCACTTAATCCTTGCATGTCAGGTGGACAGGGACTTACATGGCAATTCTCTGCAGAGATGGAGTCATCTTGTCAAAGCCACATGACTGCTACATGACAATAAAAGCACAGTCCTCTGATGGGTGTGCAAGGTTCTTTCAAATGTCTCACTTTCCCTACTTTGCCCTGAAAAGCTTTCAGGCTGAATTCAGCACTCATTTCAGTACACCAAAATTCCCTGGTTGGCCACCTTTACATGGACTGTCATCTGCAAGGCGATTTCTCCATTTCTGGATATGATTTCTCCACTACTTTACTTGCTATTAAGAAGGTCCTCTGTTTAAATTTTTTCTAAGCATCCTACACGCTCAGCTGCTAACTGCCGAGGTGGGAGGGCAGTTCAAGTTCACCCTGAGGTGCCCTGGCAGGAAGGGCCGGGGGATCTCCTTCTGAAGTTCTAGTCCTGGGAAGCCACTGCCGTGCACAGTTCTGCTCTGGGACACGTGGGCTCATGCTGAGTGGGAGCTGACTCCTGGTAACCAGACTGGGTGGGGTTTGTACTGAGCCTGGCCCATTTCCATCTCCTGCAGCACACACCAGACACCGAGCTCCAAAGAGCAGGGGGTGGCACACTGCCTCAGATTCAGGCTGTTTCCACAGCAAGAACCAGGAAGAAGAGCAGACAGGCATGAAAAAGGAAAGTGCCAGTACGCTATCCCGAGAAAAGACGTTACAACAGCAGTTCCTTTCACTATCCAGAACAGAGATGCACGTTCTCAGTCATTGAGAGGTGAAATGAAGATCTATGTCCAGGGAACAAGCCCGCTGAGAACACAGCCCTTTGTGGGACTGCCAGTATTATTTTTAGAACTTCGAGAACAATTTGGCATCCCTTAGATTGTTTGCCTACAACAAAGGAGACCAACAAGTGGTCGGAATGCTGGAGGTGTGCTGCACAGGAAGACAGACAGGATCCAGGAACAAATTACAAATGGGCACACAGCAAGTCGAAGGAAGAGCAGGATTTCTTCTTCAGAGCACTTTACAATACTCACTTGAAAAAAAATGCAGTCCTTTAAACTACCACTGACAGAAGTGCAGCATGCTCCACTCATGGGAAGGCATCGGAGATTACAGAGGGAGCAGAAGCTTGAGCGGAGGGTCTGCAGTGCTGAGGAACCTCCACTCAGTAAGAGAAGTCTCTCTGAAAAGTCCTTCATTTCTCTGAAGTACCGTCCTTAACAGGTTTCAGTTGGATGGGTTATTCTGAACAATGTTTCTACAGTTCTACAGAAAGGAGAAGTCCTAAAAGGGGCATATATGCAAGAGAGGGCCTCTCATCCCCAGCGCAGGCGTTCTGAAGGAGCCCGAGGCTAACCTCTGAGATAGAGGCTTCTCGGTAGAGCCTTCAACTTAAAAACGAGTGTCCCCAAAAGACTTTAATAATTCAACATCCTCTATCATCATTCTGATTTCACCAAAAGTAGGACAAGAAGAAACCGGTTTCAAATGCAGCAGGAAGGACTAATGTTGTAAAGAGAACTTTCAGTCAGGGTGGGTATACGCGAAGGAAAGTAAATGCCTGATGACAAGATTCAAGTTTGCTGCAGGGAAGGGGACTCGCTAACACATTTTGAAATAGACATCTCCTCCCATCCCAAATCTAAACACCTCACTTCTAAATATACCGAGATATAGTTCAGATGAACCTTCTCGTCATAATGCCTTATGTAATTTCTAGCCTCTAAGTTTCTGGTTCTGGAGCTCTGGTCGCCAATTGGGTTAGACATTGAGCTATAACCTCCAGGTCAGTGTTTCCAACCCACCAGCCGCTCCATGGGTGAAATATGCAGCTTTCTCCTCCTGGACAGATTTAGTCTCAGAAAGCAGGGAAGGCAGTTGGACTCTGCCCTACAGGGTCGCTCGGAGTAACTGACTGGATGGCAGTGAGTCTGGTTAGTCTCATTGTGGAGGGAGTTCTCTTAGGCTCAAGGACAGGATTAAGGTGGGATGTGTTCCAAGTCTCCACCTTACTGGAGGGTGTAAACTAAGTTACCATGGAGGTGTAAGCCACACCTCCATCAAAGCCATTCCCCTGCTAGATGGGTCCTCTGGGAAGCAAACAGAGAAGGCATCCCAGGACCATCAAGGAAGAACCATCACTAGTGGAACATGGTCAAGATGCTCCTCTGCTTGAAGTGGCAGAGGCAGCAGAAGCCATGCCTCACCAAGACCAGAAGCTGGGGCAAGAAGACCAGGAGAGAGAGCAGGGGAGAAGCAGTGAGACGAGGGGGCTGTGAGGCAGGGATGGCTTCCTGGCCGGTGGAGGCACAGGCCAAGGGGCTGAGAGACTGAGGACTAGAGAGACTTGGCTGCTGCCTGAGGAAGAGATGCTGCTGTTGACAAACACTATATCCTTCATTTTTTTCTGATCCTGGCTTGTGTTAACATGGTAATTGTCTAATGAGATCCTAAAATCGTGAGTACTGTGAGGTCAGGGGGGTGACTGCAATGGATGCCACTGAGTCCAGCAGAGAAGGACATTGGATCCAGCAGCGAAGTTGAGCATTATGGGAGCAATGGTTGGCGTGGAATCATGGTAAAGGAGGGAGGACGGAGGCCTGTCGGACCTCTCCCTTGTGGCCACAGACCTTGGGTTGGTGAGGAGTTGGAGTCTCCCTCTCCTGGTGTAAACAAAGGTCGGATATGGCCTCCATGGCAAGCTTAGCAAATGACATTTACGTGTGTGTGTTTCTAAAATATTGAGTTCCTATGGTAATAACATTTTTATTCTCTGGGGAAAAGAAATTCAAAAACAAACATGAACATATATGTAAATGAAAATATACAAGAGGAAAATTCTCTCTATCCCAAATGTAGGTCTCTCCGCTCCACTCCACTGTAGGACTAGAGTTCTCTGGTTAAGAAAAGCTCTCATTTATTGATCTGGTCACCATCTAGGTAAAGTCTGTGTAGGTAGGAGATGAAATAAGTCCTTCCAAAGATTCTATGAATTCCTGGCTCTTTAAGCCCAAGGACAGTGAACAAAATGGTGAGAAACTGAGCTTAGCTCCCCTGTGTTCTGTTGCCTTTCATGTCTTTATCACCAAGCTTCAGAACAGTACCCCCCCCCACACACACACACACACACACACTCCCTGTAGCCAGTGAATGTTTGCAGAGTTCAGGCATCTGAGAGTGTCCACCTTCGGGCAGAAAGGCATCCCACTGACTGCAATTATGCCCTTGTCCCAGGCTGTGTCTACATACAGAACTCTTAGGATCTTACAAGAACTGCACCGTGATGCCAGATTGCTTCAGGTTATGAATTATGACATCCAACTGATCTTTGCTGAACGGGCTGCTGAGGTCAGTGAACACTTCAATATGCCTCTTCTCAAACTTCTTTCCTCTGAAAAAGAGAGGGATCACATTAAGACACCATTCCCTGAATTACACTGTACACATTCAAATCCACTTTGTCACTGAGCAGAGAGGGGCTCAGGATGGAATCTAACCCCACCCACCCCCACCTTTTCCCCCACAGATAACGTGCCCACATAAATAGCACACCCATACATAACATGCATAGAAAACTAACACCCAAAGGGCTGGGTGGTTTGCAAAAAAGATTTAACACATACATTGTGTAAAATACAATAGATACCTGTAACAAACACTATTGCATTTCGACTTTTGCTGGTTGCTATTCTGTTCTATTGAGCAGGTAACCAACCCTGCTGTAACTCCTACTTTGAACATCTTGGGTGAAATTTCTGGGCACCATGGCAGAATGTCAACCCGGAGCTCTACCTACATGCCCTAACGTCAGTCTCATAGCTCACTGTCCAAACACCCGGAGCTGGCTCCACTCGGAAACTCAAGGGACCATTTTGAAGTGTGGGAAATGATGATGATTTAGGCTTGGGTTGTGGTGGTGGTGGTGGCTTTGTTGGGTTTTAGCTAGGTGCTTTCCTAACAGCAATGGATGTTTCTGCATGTACGTACAATTAAATGAGTGGTGCATAGGAAGCTGGCCAGAGTTAAAGCACAATGAATTTCAATTAAATCTAGTTCATGCCACTGCTATTAAAAATAAAGCCCTGGTAGTTGGCTTAAGTCAAATAGGAATAGACTTGAAATAAGCCAAACAATTATTTCACCTAAAGAAATCCCCACCAACTATAGTCCTTTCTTTTACAAATTAAGCTTTTAAAGAAACAGGCTGAACTGAGCCATGGGATTCTGTCAATTGTTTCTTTAGCCACACAAACCTGCTGCTTGGCTAACAATGAATAAGGACACGGATTGCCTCACCCCTTCAGTGCCTGCAGAAAAGCCTGGGTCCCTTCAGTTAAAACACTTACACAGTTTCTTGTTGAATCACATCCATGCACACAACGAGGGCATCCAGAACTCAGCTAGTTAAGGCAGAAGATGGCAACACACAGCCCCTTTATTGCAAGGACAGGCAACCTTTTTCCCAGTGAAGTCCACAGGGCTGAACATCATGGGCCCTGAACAATGTGATGACGCAAAGGACTTGTCCAAGTGCTGGGGGCCCACACTTATTTCATTAGCACATATCTATATATGTGCATCTTGATTCATACCAGGGGAAAAAGCATTAAAAGATGCTAAAATGTTCCCATGAACTTTTTGAAGCCACCTTGTGGAACTAAGAAAACCAATACATTCCATGCATTTAACCAAATATTATAATTTCATTTACATTATCACAGACCCACTTTTGGGGGTTGTATTAAGTATGAAATGAGCCACAATGTAGCATCTTCAAGTCATTCCCTGCAAAGCAGTGCCTCCCAGTGGTCAGAGATGGCACTACATAATAGTCAGAGAAATGACTCCTTAAAATTAACCAATATGTGGAAGAAATCTGAAACCTCAAGAGTTTGTATATCAATTAAATTTTTGACACAAAAGCATCCCCTCTCTAGAAATGAAGAATTCCAATGGCATAATCTCCTAAAAGCATTTTTCCTCTGCTCTAAGCATTTCTAACCATCACTATTGTAAACATAATCAATGAGTATATGCCCTATGCCTAATTGATCAATATCCTGATCAGTAGTAAGCGAAAGTCCTAAAGACCAGACACCCACCTGATTAACTTCACATCCAATCCCGACAGGCATCCCACCTGCAACACCCTCAGAACCACAAACATCGAGAGAGCCTCCCCAAATTGGATTATGACCCACCCCCCACCCCAGAACAAAAAGTGATTTCTTAAGAGTCTTCTCTGCCTGAAAAAGGATACTATCAGCATGCTGAGAACCTGGTTGGATTTGACTTTCGATGTCCTCCAGCAAGTCAAAGTCTGGTAGCATCAGGTGTCTGTGCACTGTGATGTTCTGATACTGATCGTCGCGAGCAAGGGCATTCTTGGTGCCATCGGTACCAAACAGCACGAGAGCAATCTCATCCTTGCTCTCAGCAAACACCTGCAGACAAGGTGACAAGACAGAAAATGATGTTCCAAAGAACGGAAGCCTTCACGCACCCAATCTGAAGGCAAGACAACCAGGCCTTCCTCTAATGGGTCCCTTAGAATATTGTCAAGCCCAGCACACTGGCTGGCATGGACACAGACCTGAGGGGCCAGAACAATTCTGAGGTTTTAAAGGTACTTTTCAGGGACGTCAGGTTCCATTCTTCACATCAGCACAAGCTAGGGTAGGGGTAGTAGAGGAGGGAGGGTGGTAACTGGTCTGGGTGACCAGCCAAATCAGATTCTAATTTTCAAGAAAAAGCTAATGATGAATAATTAGGGGGGGGAAATTGCCTATTTCGAATGACTATCCAAAGTTTAAATTCTCCAAGTGTGGTGAAGCTAGATTACTTGCTAGGGCTCTTCTATCCCCAGTCGTAACTGTATGCAGCTAAGGTGGGTGGGACTCTAAGGTGGTGATGGGCTAGTTTTGCCATTCCACTGGGTATAAAGTGGGCCAACTCAAACAGGAACAGGGGACTCTCATGATCACCAAGAAATGTCACCAGCACAGCACATCTCTTCCCTACAAGGAGAGAGGCGGTGACAGCAGAGTCAGAGGCACCAAGAACATAGAGCAGAGGGCCTCTCGGCCCACGGGATGAGAAGAGCTGTCTTGTATATAGTAGCTATATAGTAGCTATATATAGTACTCTTTAATTCCTCAACCCCCTATTTGATAGGTCCTATAATCTTCTCTCATTTTACACCTGGGAAAGGGAACCGCTGCAGTAGCCAGTCTCCAGGATGACCACCATCTATCTATTCCTTCTCTCCCTGTATGGCCCTTAGAACCAAAGCAGTCTCCAATACCCTCCCCTTGATTTTGAGCTGAACAACAGAAGGCCAGGGCACTGTGTGAGACTTCTAAAGCTGGCTCACGGGAAGTCATTCAATCAAGTCTCATAAAACACTCGCTCTTGGGACACTTTCTCTCAGAACCAGTCACCCTACTAAGAATCTCAAACCACAAGGAGAGGCCACATGTAGGTGATCTCCAGTGGATGGCTCCAGCTGAGCTTACCCCTGACAAAAGGCATCTACTACCAGCCACAAGTGAGGCATCTTGGACATCCAGCCTGGTTGAATCTTCAGATGCCTTGAGGCCCAGCCACTGTCTAACTACACCTGTCTGACAAGTCCAGATAAAACTACCAGCCAGCTGAGCCCAGCTGTCCCACAGAACTATTAGAAAGGATTAAAAAGAGAGAGCTGTTATTTTAAGACATGAAGTGTTGGCATAGTTTATTATAAGTAGAATAGGCACAAAGTTGAATGACTTTTCAGGGTAAGTAGCTAGGAGTTTGGAATCAAACGCTGTTAAACTGCCTCCAGAGATAGTACTTTTAAATCTTACGTATATTGCACAGTTTCTAATAATAATTGCAATACCCAGTGGACAAGTCAGAAGAGGAGAAGGGACAAACATCAGACTCTTAGTGATAGCTCAACTTGTTTGTGGTGTATGTAAGAAAGCTCTCCAGGCTCCCCAAAACACTGAGGCTGGTCCTGGTCAGCAAGGCTCCCCAAAACACTGAGGCTGGTCCTGGTCAGCAAGGCTCCCCAAAACACTGAGGCTGGTCCTGTTCAGCAAGCCAGAAGTTTGCTTTAGCAGGTGGAGGCAAAATGCAGTAAAAGAATGCTCAACGCCGATCTGAAACTTACCTGTCGCTGCACGAACATGGTCATCACCTTCTTGGCTTGTTCAAATGGCGACTCCTCACCAGGAGAAGAGTTACTCATGGCAAAGCCCACATCCATACATAGCACAACAGCTGCCTACAAACAATACCCCAAGAGTGTTTAAGAAAACATTAGTAACAGGGATAGGGAAAGACACAGAAGAGATATGTTCACTGCTTAGCTCACTCATAAACTTGGGACAGATATCCAGGGGACAGGTGATGTGTGGGTGTATATAAAGCGCATATATGTGGTGTCCAAATTTTCCCTATGGAGAATTCTCCTATAGCCCCTACGCTTTCTAAAAACGGAACACTTTCTAAAATAAAAAACAAACAAACAAACCACTTTTTTGCCAGAAGAGATGTATGCTCCAAGTCGCTGTTACCATTCTGACTTTAGCATTAACTCAAGGGAGCAGATCTGAACCCAGCCTGTGGGCTAGATTCAAGCCCAACCTAATGGAGTCCAACAAGCGCTGATGCATTTACTTACATGTTCTTTTAAGAATCTATTTTAAATCAGAAAACCCTAATGCAAAGACTAAAGCTCATTTGGCAAGAGCAAGTATCCCAAAAATGGCTTCAAAGGGTTTCACCGTATAGAACTTCTTGTCTGGAAGCAGAAGAATGGACTCAATAAAACTCCTCTTTGATAACCTTAAGAATCAAAACTAAAATACAAGGATACGAGGCAACACAGCAAGCTTTCATTTCTATGAGGTAGTAGTGCATGATGGATGTATGATGGAGCCCTGGTGGCAAAGGGGCTACACATTGAGCTCTTAACCACTAAGTCAGCAGTTCTAAACTACCAACTGCTTTAAGTGGGGAAAAGGAGGCTTTCTACTCCACTAAGAGTGATAGTCTCAGAACATCGTAAGAGCAGTTTCCTCTGCCTTCCAGGGAGCTGATGTGGAATTGACTTGATGACTTAGGTTTTTGTTTGGAATGTGGCTTTCAGTCCACCTGCCATAAACAGCTGCTCCACTAAAGCAACCCACTTTCCAGCAGTTCAAACCAGAGGAATACAAGGGAGGAACATTCTCACCAATCTATAAACATTTTAATTAACATTTCTCAATGGAATTAGAGTCACAATCAGCAGCTCAAATTCCAATCTTGCTTAGCTGTATACCAGGTGCTTAGTGTAAAGCTAAGTCTACCGCACACTGAAGAAACGGGTTTAATTACGGATTGGCTCCTTAGGACCGCACCTCGCCTTAGAAACCATTACAATTTTTTTTTAAGTCTGTGATTATTACTAAAGAACCTTGGTGGCGGGACGCCAACCACACGGTCAGTAGTTCAAACTTCCCAGCAGTTCTGAGTGAGACTAGGGCTATCTGTTCCCGTAAAGATTTGCATCGTTTCGGAACCCAGATAAGGTTGCTGTTGAGCCGGGATCCACTGGACGACAGTGGGTTCGGGGGTCCGTTTGTACTGTTATCACTTCTCTACGCCACGGGTTTCTCACCTGTAATAATAGTTCCTGCCTTGCGTGGCTGTTGGGAGGATTAAATGGGACAGGAATAGTTTGGATCTGTGGGTCGGATAACTTGCAGTAACTATGAAGGTAGTCAACTGCCATATGACTCCCAGAGAGTCCCTCTTTCCCTGTCTACAAGTGTGGAGGGTAGGTGCTTAGCATTGTAATCAACCCCACTGTCCGAGAGTTGAAACGCCCGGGCTCACAAGAACCGGAGCAGGTTAGGACGCAGCAAGAGCCAGAGAGCGCGGGAGCAGTGCTGGACGGACGTGGGTGGAGCCTGCGCGAGGCGCCAGTTGGAGTCCCGGGATGTCAAACCCGCCGCCACCAAGGCACCCTTCGATCCGTCCGCTCGCGACCCAGCCCGCCACCGAAGTTCTCCCCTCCCCCGCACCCCCGACTCCCTAGCATCGCCATGGTGACCCCACGACTCTTCTCAAGTCCCAGGCAAGGGCAAGGCTCAAGAGGCCAGTTCCCGCTACCTTATTCCAGGACCGTGCCATTGTACCGGTCCGCGGGCGTCTAGGACCGCCTCTTCCGGGGCGGACCACCGCCTTCCGGTTGCGCCGGAAACAGCTCGTCACTCGCGGCGCTGGGACCGTGAGCATGCGCAGATGCCCTGCGCTCCTCCACTCCAGCAGACGTACTTCCGTTTGCGACTAGGCTCACTAGACCTTGAAGCCGGAGCGCTTGTGGCGTTAGATGTATCCGAATCCAGGGAGTTCGGGAAAGACTGCCCCAGTACAACCCGTAAAAGGGAGGATAAGGAAAGACTTGGCAAAGACAGCGGTCACAGAACCAAGTCCTAAGAACAGTAATCGTTTCCTAGGCAACAGAAGTGGGCGGGGCATTCTTTGCAGAGGGAATGCCTTCTGCAAGTACAGAAGCCAGCAGGGCAGGCATCGAATAGGCCAGGGATCTAACAACACTGTCGTTTGGAGGGCTTCTCATTTGGAAGGTGATCGGTGGCGTTGATACAGAAGACCAGCCTAGAACGTAGATATTCTAGAAAACGGCCTCCTTGCAAAAGGAAACGTGGCAGAAACAAAGGAAGCGTCCACTTCCAGCCTTGTCATTTTGAGGGTGAGGGATCTGTAGAAACCGCTGTTTTCTGCATCAAAAGACCTGCAAGTTAACAGGTGACTGAAAAGGATCCGGGGTTCACAAATCTTTGACCTAACTGGAAAAATCAAATCCATCAAATGTTCTCGCTCGTTTGATCATTGGAACGGGGAGAAAGGAATATTAAAGCTAGAGTCAGCTGCCCTCCAGCGCAAGCAGACCTCGGGGGTGTTAGAGCAGAAATGTGCCCCATAGGGTTTGGGACTGAATTTTCAGAAGTAGGTCTTTCTTCCTGGGAGGCACCCTTAGGGGGCTTGGATATCCACCTTTTTAAGTAGCCAAGTGGCTGCTGACAGATGACAGAGAATTGAGTGTAAAGGGAACAGGAGGGGGAGAATCGTTAGTAGACTGTGTCTACTGGGAAGAGATTTGGGCCAGAGACCCCTGAGTCTGTTTGGCATGTGAGGGAAATAAATGTGACAGGAAAAGAGGAACTTGCGGCTGTTATTACATTGGTAGTTCCCAATGAGTCAATCCCGTCAGAATGGACAGTGTTGTTTAGTTTCATCCTCTTGGATCTGGGTAGACCTGGTGACCTGCTTTTTTTACCGGCAAAATGTGACCAATTCTGGGCCACAGCCATTAGAATATCGGGCAGATTTAGCTTTTGCTCTTTGAAACCAGTCACGATGAAGACCACCACCCTAGCCACAGGGTGGTACCACCTGAAGGATCACTGAGCGCTAGAGTGTATGCCTGGATGGTAGGTAGCACTTGAGGCTGTCTTGGGAGCGACCCTTCAGCCCCATGGGAAGGTCTCAGCATTAGAATCATCGACCAGAGATCAATGGTTTCTCGTCTAGAACTTTTCCGGAGCATCTCAGCTTTGTTCAAATTACAGAATTGCGAGCCAATGGTTGTTATATTAAGATGCCAAGTGTTGGGAGAATTTGTTATACAGTAAATAACGAACACAAGTTTTTTTGGAGGGGTTCCATTTGTTTTTTTAAGTAGTGCTGTCAGTGTAGATTATACTTTTTGGAGTGGCTGGAATAAAGGCAAGTGGCAAAGTTTCTTCACTTTGAAATTGCGATTCTGATTTCTGGAATGTGTTTGTGTTTAGCATCGCTCTGCAAGTAAACTACCTGAGTAGTGACTTCATAGTGTTCTTTAAAAGAGAAATAAGGAGGTGACATGCTCTCCCAACAAGCTGCTATGGACAACTGGGAAAATGAGTTAAAATCCTCAATTGGCTGTTTATTAGGCTGGCTTGACTAGAGAAACAAATCCAGTGACACTCATATGTATAGGAAAAAGCTTTGTATCAAGAAGTAATTATACATCATGCAAACATCCCAGTCCAGAAAAAGTCCAGAAATCCAATACTACTCCATAAATCTAATACTAGTCCCTAAGTCCCTCTTCAGACTCATGCAGCCTCATGCATGATACAGAATGCAGGAAGACCACCAGCCAATGGGGGAGAAGTTTCATGGATCCAATGGCAGTAGAAGCATCACAGGGCTGGCACAGGTCACAGCATGGCTCCAGCATTTCTCCGAGTGACTTGATAGCAGGAAGGTGAATGCAAAGAGAGGGGGAAGTTCCCAGGATCCTTATAAGAAGGCCACACCCACAAGGAGGTATCCTCAGGCTGCGACCTGATTGACAAGCTAGACTCCACCCCTACACCCTATTTATTAAGTTGACATGAAATTATGTAACTGCCATAGCTGGTTTCTCTAAAGAACTAAAACCAGTGAGATATCTTACGTATAGATATTATATGTAATATATACACATATATCAAGGAAATAACTGACACACATATAAAAATGGGTAATTCCAGTCTGGTTCAAGTCTGTCAGTCAGATATTAAGCTAGAGGCTTTTGCTGGCTCAGATAGCTTCCTAGTGATGATCCCGGAAACATGAAGACCACAGGCTGGTGGAGGCAAGTCAGGCTTGTGTTTTTCCTCACTTGCGTAGCTTCTGTGCTAATGAACCAGGAAGCAGGAAGATGACAGCCTGGTGGGGGGTGGGGGTGCAGACCTGTGATGGATGGAAGCAAGGTCAGTAAGTCAGGTCTGTGTCTGCAGAGTCAAATGAAGCCAAACTGCAGGCAACATGGCAAGCTGCTGATAACTCCCAGGCTTGGTGGGTCCATGACCCAGATACAGGATCTGGACTGGCAAGAAGTGGGGTACCTTCTCACAGACTTCTTTTCGATTGTATCAAGGCTGGGACCTGATTAAGTGGGTAGCACTCCACGCCAATTCTCCCACAACTACTTGTCTGCTCACAGTCCTCATCATGGAGTTGATTGCGTTATGTTAGACAACATCATGAGATAACCCTCGCCTAGCCAGGCTGACACAAAACCTTGCTATCAAAGGGGTAGCGGGAAATTACTTTACGGGGCTCCTTTCGCCATGATCTTCACAAATCCCACCAAAAGACTGGGCGGGACCAAGCAAATAGGGTATATCAAACTCTAACGGGATTGTTGCCATCCCACTGGGTTTAAACGGACTCATCTTAGTAGCAGGACTGCAGAATCTCACAATCATCGAGCAAGAAGAGTCAAAGATGATGTCTAAAGTTCCCTGGACTGAAACACCTCGATCCAGGAGACATCAGGACACCAGAGACACTGGAAGAGGGGGCAGAGAAGCAGTGGCAGAGGTAGCAGTGCCAAGAGCACAGAGCAGAGCTCCCAGGTCCAGGAAGTGAGTAAAGATGAGGGCCCTGGGCAGGAGGCTCCTTGGCAGAAGGGTCGCTGTGTTAGTCCTGTCAGACTAGAGAAACAAATCCAGAGACACTCATATGTTTAAAGGAAGTAGCTTTATATCAAAGAGTAATTGTACATTAAGAAAACATCCCCAAAGAGTGTAGGGGGAAGGTGGGGGCTAAAACAAACAAAAATAGAAAAAGAAAACATCCCAGTCCAGATCAAGTCCATAAGTCTGATATTAGCCCACATGTCCAATTCCAGTCCATAAGTTCTCCAGACTCACATAGCATATGCAATGATGCTGAATGCAGAAGATCACAGGACAATGGGTGAAAAGTCTTGTGGATCCACTGGTAGTGGAAGCATCCCAGTGCTCTGGCTGCCATCGGTATGGCTCCATGTGGCTTGTCAATAGGAAGACAAAGGCAGAGAGAGAGTGTGTCCCACCTCCAGGGAGGAAGACTGGACTTCCCAGAACCCTCAGGAGGCCATGCCCACACACAGGCATCATTGAGCATGACCCGATTGACAGGCTAGACTCTACCCCTTTGCTCAAGTTCACAGGAGATTATGTAACTGCCACAGTTGCCTCCAGGCATTTAACCTGGTGAACAAGGTGTACTGACCCATGGAGCTGGAGCCCAGCCATGTCCCTTTGGGTATTTATTAGCTCCACTAAAGGAGCCTTGTAACATTGCCAAAGCAGGGCAGAGGCCAAGGTCCCAGAGAGGCATGCCTGTGGGCATGGCTGAGAAGCAGCCCTCCTGACCAGAGTACTGCTATTTCTGATCCTATGAAATCCCCTAATAAACCCCAGGAGCGAAGTATTGTCTGTGAGTGCCGTGTGGCCATTGACAGATGATGTCGAGTGCCATGGGAGGAAGGGTGTTGTCAGAATCGGGTCAAAGAGCTGGAGAGGGAGGACTCTGCCCTGGGTGGATGTGGAGTTGGAGTCTCCTTCCCCCAGAGCCCCCACCCTGCCATTCATGTTGTTGTTGTTAGGTGTCTTCGAGTCAGTTCCTCTGCTTGAGCAAGCGTGATGTTCTCCTCCTGGGACATGAGATATGTTATGCCATTCTTACAGGGTACAGATATGAAATGAAGGTTTGTACTCCAAAGAGATGTAAAGAGTAATATTGTGCTACCACATTACAGTACAGTACTCCAGTAGTACATGATTCCATCAAGTGCCATTTAAAAAGTCATATAAAATGTTTGTATCCATGAAAAAAGTAATTAATTGAGGAAGAGAATGTTTTAATGTTGCCCACTAATTTTTTTAAAAGATCATTTTATTGGGGACTCTTACAGCTCTTATAACAATCCATACATCAATTGTATCAAGCATATTTGTACAATATGTTGCCATCATTATTTTCTAAACATTTATTTCTATTTGAGCCCTTGGTATCAGCTCTTCTTTTTTTTCCTCCCTCCCCCACTCCCATCCCCATGAACCCTTGATAAATTATAAATTATTATTTTCATATTTTACATCGACCGTGGTCTCCCTTCCCCCACAACGTGTTTAACACTGCAAATACTAAGCCCCGGACGGTCATTCTAAAGTGGTAGAATGACATCTTCATCTAATTATGTGGGGGATTTAGAAATGTGTGTTGCAGGAAGTCCTGGGGAACAGGGATCTGGTTCCCCTTGGACATGAACTCAGAAGAAGGGTGCTTTACCTAATGGAAATAGACAAGTTGTCCTGAGAGCATAGCTAT